CTGGCACCTGCTTGCGGTTGTGGCTGGTGAGTGGCCTTGCTCTGAGCCCTGTCAAGGTGCCTCTGTCTGAGGACCTCGGCCAGCCCGTCTGCAGGACTCACACTCAGACCAGGGCTTACAGGACAGGCAAGTAGCCGTTTCATTTTGTTATTTAATGTGAACTTCATTTGCCGGATTTTGAATAGGAAATACATTTGCGTGTTTCAAAAAATCAGAGTGCCCTGGGAATTCCCTGGCGGTCCAGTGGTTGGCACTCAGCGCTTTCACTGCCGAGGGCATGGGTTCGATCCCTGATTGGGGAACTAAGATTTTGTAAGCCGCATGGCACAGCCAAAAGAAAAATCAGAATCCCCAGGGGTGGAAAGCAGGGGTCTTTCCTCCCCCACCTCAGCCAGTGCCCCCTCCCCACAGGTGGCCCACGGTTTTGATCTGCTGCAGCTCCTCAGGGGCGTTCAGGCACACGCAAGCACACGCGCGTCATTTAAACACGAGGGCCAAATACAGTTCAGTGTCAGTCCCTGGGGTCTCTGCCCTCTTCTTTTTTTTTTTAAATAAATTTATTTATCTCATTTATTTTATTTTTGGCTGTGTCGGGTCTTCGTCGCAGTGCACGGGCTTCTCATTGCGGTGGCTTCTCTTGTTGCAGAGCATGGGCTCCAGGCGTGCGGCCTTCATTACTTGTGGTTCGCAGGCTCCGTAGTTGTGGCTCGCGGGCTCTAGAGCACGGGCTCAGTAGTTGTGGCATGCGGGCTCAGTTGCTCCGCGGCATGTGGGATCTTCCCGGATCAGGGCTCAAACCCGTGTCCTCTGCATTGGCAGGCGGATTCTTAACCACTGCGCCACCAGGGAATCTGCCCTCTTTTGAAACATTTAAAATTTTATTCTCTTTTGTCTTTATAGGCAACAAACTTCCCCACGTTAGTTTTTGCTTCTTTCTCTGATCACAAGGGAGTGAGACGGTACCTGTTCCTTCTGTGTTTCCTTCCCAGCCCAGCGTCTGTTCATATCTTTTGCATACTTTTCCCTCGGGTGGGTTATTATTGACTTGCAAGAAGCCTTAAGCATTAGGGATTTTTAGCCGCTGTCTGCGATAAAGTGAGATGCAAATATACGTCCCATTTTGTCATTTTTTCTTATACCACCGAGGAGCTGTTGACAGGAAGGGCTCTTTTAGTTTTTGTGCAGGTGTAAACACCTGGCTTCTTTCAGGGCTTCTGGGTTTTGTGTTCAGAAGCCTTTCTGTCTCCCTGGAGCTAAGAGGGCCTCTGACCTCTGACCTGCTCGGGGCTGAGCCTGGGGATGTGCGAGCTGGGACCATTGCTGAAGGGCCCAGTCGCCCAGCTCCACTCACCCAGTGGTTCCTCTTCCTCCACTGACTGAGATGCTACCTTGTTTAGTGCTAACCTCCTCTGCTTTTTGCTTTATTTTCGGGCTTTCTATTCTGTTCCTTTGATTTGTCTACTTCTGTGCCAAGTCCCATTGTTTTCCCTCTTGGGGCCCCACAATACGCCTCGTCAGTTTACTGGCTTGTTTTTGCTGGTTACACTTCCTTTTAGGCTTTTCCTTGCTATTCCTGTGTCTTGCACGGAACTGGGCCGGGAGCTGGTCTCGCTGCACTTACAGAAGTGCGTCTGCTCATTTTGCGGACTGGCGGCTTAGGGAATTTGGCCCCTTTTGGTGTTGAGTCTCTTCATCCAAAACGGCAGACCTGGGGCTTCCCTGGTGGCGCAGTGGTTAAGAATCCACCTGCCAATGCAGGGGACACAGGATCGAGTCCTGGTCCGGGAAGAGCCCACATGCCGCAGAGGAACTAAGCCTGTGCGCCACAACTACTGAGCCTGCGCTCTAGAGCCCGCGAGCCACAACTACTGAGCCCGTGTGCCACAACTACTGAAGCCCGCATGCCTAGAGCCCGTGCTCGGCAACAAGAGAAGCCACCGCAGTGAGAAGCCTGCACGCCGCAACAAGGAGTAGCCCCCGCTTGACGCAACTAGAGAAAGCCTGTGTGCAGCAACGAAGACCCAGCGCAACCAAAAATTTTAAAAATTAATTAATTAATTAACAACAACGACAACAAAACAGAACTGCAGACGCCCTGTTTGTCTCATGCTCCTTTGGTGCCCTCAGCAGCGTTACAAAACTTCTAAGTTTTCTCTGTGTGGTTCTGGCAGAGCGGGTCTCTGGGGAGGTGATGGAGCAGATTCGCATTCTGCAGGTGCCGAGCTGGCCCGTTTCCCTGACGGGTTCGCTTTGGTCAAGAGCAGGGTTTCTGGGTAACTTGGGCCACCGAGGGGGAGGCGGAATCCCCTCTGCAGCCACGCTGGCCCCTGGCCGGGTCTGGGTGGCCAAACCTGTCTTCTCTTGTCCTGCAAACGGACCCTGGGTGATGACAGATCCTTTTCCAGGCTGGAGAGATGCCACCTGCGTGCTGTGGAACTGATGAAACAAAATTCCAGATGGGTGTTCGGGAATCCCTGTAAGGATGCCAGCCACGGTGGTCCTTCCGGGCAGGCTCCATTTCCCTGACCGTCATCAGGGCCGGGTCCTGCCCCTGGCAGCCCTGGGCCCCCTGCGCCTGCAGGCAGGGTCAGCACGCAGGAAGGGAAGGGGAGGGGGCAACTCCATCCCAGGCTTCAGTGGCGTTCTCCCCCGGGAAGTGAAAGGTCCTCATTTTGTCAGAGGTTTGGCGCCAGTCCTGAGGACAGAGGACTCGACTGTGTCAGGCGGGCTCAACTGGGACCCCAGGCCTCCCGCTGTAGTGTGCGGGGGTGGGGCGGCTGGCACTCTACCCCGTGGGGACAGGATTGCGGGAGGGCGCCCCAGGATGAGCTGGGACTCACCTGCTGTCCATCAGCCACCGCAAGCCTCTGTGTGCCGGAGCCGGGTGAGGGTTAGGGACCAGGGGGACAGAGCTGGGCGGCTCTCGGCCAGCTGGGGGCCCCCCCACGAGGTCTGACCCCACCCCGGCGGCAGCCTGTCCCCTAGCCCTGGGTGTTCTGGAGTACCGGGTGCTGGCCACCAACTTCAGGGACTACGCCATAGTGCTCACACAGCTGGAGCTCCAGGACGAGGCCTTCAGCACCGTGGAGCTGTACAGTGAGTGCGGCCGCGCTGGGTCCCGGCCTTGAAAGAGCCCAGCGGGCTGGCCGCTGCTCCGCTCCATCACTCATTCCTGCATGAAATCCCCACTGGGGCCCCGAGCCTTCCTTCCCTGTTGCCCCCTCCCTGCACTTGTCCTCTGTGGGAGATGTGACCCTGCCTGGAGGGAGGGACGGGGTGGGAGCTGCACGTGGTAAAGGGCCTTGGGGTCAGAAGAGCACAGGGTCCCAGGCGTCTGTCTGGTTCCTGCTGCGGACCCCCTGCCCGCCCCCGTCCCCCAGCCCGGCTCTCAGGGGGCACCTCCCCTGCAGGCCGGACGGAGCTGGCCAGCCAGGAGGCCATGGGCCTCTTCACCAAGTGGAGCAAGGGCCTGGGCTTCTTGTCCCAGCAGCAGGCCAAGCTGCAGAAGGGCCGTGAGTGTCACCATGCCTGACGCCGCCGGGTGCTGAGGGCCACGGACCGTGGGGCCATTTGCTGGCTTCCGCTGCGCTTGGGGACCCTCCAGGCCTCAGGGAGTCAGGCAGGGCTCGGGGGTCTTCAAGGAGTCACCTAGTCCCCGCCCAAAGTCAGACCTGTGGGGCGGCCCCCGTCTGGGGGGTGGGGGGCTGTGTGCGGGGGCCGGCAGGGCCCCGGGTGCTCTGCGGCCACGGTCTGTCTCAGGTGCCCAGCTGGGCAGGGAGACCTGCCCCGTCCTCACTGCCGTCTCGCTTTCCTCCCCCAGTCACCTGTGCACGCAAGGTCTTTCAGGTAAGCGGCCTTCCCGAGCATCCCTGAGCTCCTGTGTGGTGGGAGGAGTCTGGGGGCCCTGGGGGCCCCTCCATCCCAGTGGCTCTACCGCTGCCGTACAGGGCTGGGGGCTTGGGGGAGCTGATGCCTCTCCAGGTGAACCCAGGGTCCCCCAATGTTCCTAATGGTTTTCAGTGAATGCTGCAGCCCCCAGGGGACCAGAGGAGGCTGGCCAGACGCACCCTCCCTGCTCAGCCTCCTGGGTGCTGGGCTTTGGGCCGACTGCTCCCAGGGGCTCTCGACGCAGATTCCAATAAAGCGGTTCCACAAACCTGTGCCATGCCTCTCGCCTGTGTCCAAGCAGGGCCCTGGGCTGAGAGGAGACAGAAGAGCCGACAGGGAGCTGCCTCCTCGGGCCGGGTGGCTGCAGGGAGAGGCGGATGGGTGGGGTGGGCTTGTCAAGGGCTGAGCACAGAGCACAGAGCCAGCCTGGGGACGAGAGTGCAGGCCTGCAGCCCCGTCCCTCCCCAGCGGCCCTCTGGCCCAGAGGTGGGAGCTGGGCTGGAGGTGGCTGCTCCTCCCACAGGGCTCAGTGCGGCCCCGGGCAGGCAGGAGGCTGGTCTGCTCAATTTGGAGGACGACCCTGTGATCTGGATGAAGTGTGGGCAGGGCGCTGGGCTGGGATGCCCAGGGTGTGAAAGATTGGCTTTTCCTGGCTGGAGCTCTTGGATGAGGAGTGGGGGCAGGGACCCCAGAGGGCTCGAGCCTGTCCGTCCTCCTGTGTCCTGAAGTCCTGGCAGAGCACAAGCCGTCAGGGGAGGTGGGCTGGGAGCAGGGTGGGGACTGCCTCTCACTTGGGGTGAGGTCAGGTGCACACAGGCTGCCACCCCCTTCACACACACACACACGTGCACATATGCAAACACGTCAGTACCTTCTAAGGGCATCGAGAAGGCAGCCCCCGCGTCAGCGCCGGCACCATGTGAGCCCCGTCTTCACGTCCTTCACTTTCGCCCCTGTGAAGTGACTCAATGACACTTTCCGACCTTTGCTTCTCTCCCCGGGGGGCTAGGACAGGAGGCCCAGGAGCCTCCCTGCCAGGTGCAGTGGCTCTAGGGGACATGTGGTGACCGGAGGCCCAGGAGGTGACCTGGGGAACATCATGGTCTCCATCTTTGGGGCCTCCCAGGACAGCAGCTGTGCCGCTCCGAGGGCCAAGGGTAGGGCTGGCCCTCCGTGCGGGGAGGGAGGGCCCCAAGCTCCCTCCCTCGCATTGGCCCACCAGGCTGGCTCGCGGCTGCAGGCTGGCCGGACACCCACGCAGGGCTGGTGGGCTGGGACATTTAAGCGTGGCGTCCAGCGGGCAACTGGGAGGAGGGCCAGGATGGGGCCAGGCTGGCTGTTGCCCGTGCTGGTCCTGGTGCTGGAGCTGCCTGGGGGGTCCCTGGCGCAGGAGCAGCTCCCCAGGGAGCCCCACAACCTCAACTGGGGCAAGGTGAGTCTCGTGCCCCCAGCCCACCGGCCGGGCGCCGGGGCCAGGGTGGGCAGGGCCAGCAGGAAGAGGGGTCCCTGGAAATCTTCGCAGAGCCGCCGGAATCCGCTGGACGGGCTCTCAGGGGGCTCCGGCACAGGCTCCTGTTGGCCCCGTGGGGCAGTCGACGGCCTCTTCTGGGGACAGGCTGGGGCTTCAAATCTCAGCTGATGGCCGTGGGCCGCATGCCAAGAGCCCCGAGGAGGGGCCGTAGCAGAGGCCCCCAGACAGGCGCAGCCTGAGGGCCCAGAGGTGCCAGGTGGGCAGAGGGGAGGCAGTACGAGCAGGACACGTCCTGGAATAATGAGGCCGCCGGCTGGGTGGAATGTTCCTGTGGGGGTGGCCATGGGCACAGGCTGAGCAGACTGGGGGGCATCTGGGAGGGGCTTTGCTGTAGGGAGAGCAGTGGGACGGGGTGCGGGGGCCAGCTGGGAGGGAAGGGGCCCCCACGAGGCCCACGTGGGCAGGAAGCTCTGACACCCGGTGCCCAGGGCCCTGCCTGGTGCCGCCTCGGGCCCTAGAGCAGCCGGGCATCTGCATCCTCAGCCCGGGGTGGCAGCGGGGGCCCCGAGGCAGGGGCCGTGCCAGCCTGTGGGTGCTGGACGTGCCCTGGGCCTCAGGCTAGGGTCACCTGTCCTGTGGGTTCTCTGGGACCTGGGGTGGGGGCCGAACCCGTGTGGCGGCCCAGACCCCGTGCCCGCAGCACCCTCTCTACAGTTTTCAGGGTTCTGGTACATCCTCGCCGTCGCCTCTGACACCCAGGGGTTGTTGCCGGCCAGAGACAAGAGGAAGCTGGGGGCGTCTTTAGTGAAGGTTCACAAAATGGGCCAGCTGAGGGTGGTCCTCGCCTTTAACCGGTGAGTGGGCCAGGGCAGGGGTCCCAGCACATCCTCTTCAGACCCCTGAGCCCACGGAGGGGAAAGGGAGTGAGGGTGGGGGCGGGGACCAGGCCCGAGCGTCAGTCTGGAAATCCCAGAAGGCCTGTCCTCGAAACCCCAATACCCATCACTCTCTGCCGCTAAAACTCAAACGGCTGCTTTTGGGAGTGGCTCCCACAGTCCACCAGGGGCTCAGCGGGCAGAGGGCGTTTGGAGTGTTTCCCCTGAGCTGTGGGACCAGCCCGGGTCCACGCTGGAAAGTCCCAGGGCAGCAGAGCCCAGAAGGGGCTCACAGCCTGCCTCCCCCCAGGTCACAGGGGTGCCAGGCACACTCGCTGATCCTGCGGAAAGACAGGAAGAGGGCTGTGTTCAGGAACACCTGTGCGTAACCGCTGGGCCCTCGGGAGAGCAGGGCGAGGGGTGTCCAGGGCTTCCTGGCCACCGGGACCCAGGGTTGGGCTACCGACCGCACTGGCCCCAGCTGTCCTCCTCCGAGAACATGGGCCGGTGGGGATGAACGCCCAGGACACGCGGTCAGGCCACCGTGGCCCAGAGCCGAATTGGCAGGCGTGTGCCCGGGGGCCTGGGTGGAGGGGACTCTGCGGCCCCCGCCGTGCAGGCGGAAGGGGTCAGGGGGTCGGGGCCCACCGTCCAGGTGCGAGCAGGCGACTCTGTGCTTCTCTTCCCGTCCAGTGAAGGGGGTGGTGGGCTTCCACGTGCTGACCTCTGACTACAAGGACAGCGTGGTCTACCTGCGCCTGGGCCGGGCGGGCCAGGCCACCAAGACCCTGCTTCTCCTCAGGGAGTCCAGTGGCTGGGCGTGCGGGGCAGAGAGTGGGGGCCGAGCGGGCGTCGTGATGGACACCCAGACCAGCGGCCACACAATGGGCACTCACCCCTCAGTCCAGTGTGCCAGCCTGTGGGGTCTGGTGGTTTGCAGACGGCCGCCTTCTCGCTGTGTCCTCGCACAGGGGTTGGGGCGGTGCTCTGGTCTCGTCCTCTTCTCGTAAGGGCACCAATTCCATCATGAGGGCCCCATGCTCACGACCTCAGCTACCCTGATCACCTCCCAAGGCCTCCTATGACCACCCCGTTGGGGACTCAACACGTGAATCTGGGACACACACACACGTAGTCCACAGTGGCTGGTCACGGCCCGTGGGGTGCAGCCTGGCAGGAGGGGTGACATGGGGAGGTAGGGCTGGCTGAGGATGTGAGCAGAGGGAGGGAGGGAGAGAGGGAGGGAGGGAGGGAGGGAGGGAGGGCAGAGCGCGGGACCCTTTGCGTGGAGACCATGCAGGAGGGTCTGGGAGGTGCCCCCAGGGGCGAGTGGGGAGGCCATTGCAGAGGGGGGTCAGAAAGCCAGAGGCCGGGAGGGGCGGGCTGTCCATGTGGATGCAGAGGCCCCCAGGCTGACAGCAGGATTGGGGGGCAGGAGGTGAACCAGGAAGAGGTTCTGCCCCAGGTTGGGTGGGTGGTACAGAGAGGGCGGGAGGGGGTACTGGGGCATCTCCGTCGGGGTGGGCCCGTCCAGGGATGCAGCAGGAGGGGCAGTGGCCAGACTGGCCAGAAGGAACTGGAGGGCCCTGCGTGGTGACCCTGCGTGGTGACCCCACCTCCCAAGGCTCTCTGGGGACCCGCCCTGGCCGACGCTTCCTGTTACCCACCAGTAGCCGCCTGCCCCTGAGCGCACGCACCTTGCTTGTCTGTCCCAAAGCCTGCGGGCGTTCCGGTGCTGAGGGGCAGGTGCCACCCGCACGGCTGATGACACGACCCTGCTTCCCCGCTGCAGGCAGACAGAGCACGGCCAGCTTCCTGAGTATGAGAAAGTTCATAGACGTGTGTGAGGCTTTGGAGCTCACCTGCAGTGTGACAGTTCTCCCGAAAGATGGTAAAGTGCGGCCGCAAGCGCTCGGGCTCGGGCAGCACCGCTCCCGGCCCCGTGCCCGTCCCGCTGGGGCGCTGACTCCCGTGGGGGATGGAGAGGTGGAGCGGTGACAAGGGCACTTGTTAAAGATCTAGAGCCACCGTGAATGCACGGCCACGTGTGCGAGCCCGCGGCACCCAGAGCACAAATGCTGCCTTGGCCAGGTCTCTGCCGTGTGGCTGGGGGCCGGAGCTGCACGGCTTTGCCCTCCGTGGTGCCCGAGGCCCCCGGGAGATCCAGCCCCCCACCCCCTCACTGCCTCTTTCCTCTCCCGCAGCTTCCTGTGCACACACCATCCTGCTGTGAGAGTGAGCTGCCACCCATCTGCTCTTCCCTTTGAGGCCCGACTTGTGGTCCACCTAGACCGCAGGAGTGTTGTTCCAAACTGCAGGCTTTCACATCCAACTGGTTGTTGAGTGGTGTTTGGGGACCCCGGGCCTCTGATGGTGTGGAACCTGGGGCCCGTGGCTGTAGCCCAGCAGGGTCCTTTACAATCACTGAGGGATGGGGTGAGGGGCACATGCTGACCGGGCGGGGGATGCGAAGCCAGGCCCCTGTGTCCTCTGGATTACGCGGCAAAAAGTTGCGGCTGGGCCTTTTCTGCTGCAAAATAGACCACGGATCCCATGTAATGTGCCAGGTGCTTTCTCTGCAGTGAGTCTCTGCCACCGTCCTCCGCGTCCCGTGACACCCTACACTGTCTCAGGAAGCCGTGCGCTTATACACACCACATGCATGTCGCGGGAATCGTGCTGGCTGCTGCGGAGAGAGCAGTGGGCGCACAGGCAGCCATGGTTCTCTCTTTAGGAGAGGCGGACGCTGACTCAGTCATCCAAGCACACAATCATAGACCCTCAGGAATATGTCCAGAGGTGCCAAGTGTGCACCACGGCAGGCCTGGCTCATTCCAGGTCGGGAGGAGGGGTCAGGGAGAGCTCCTTGGAAGAAGTGATGTTTGAGCTGAGAAATGAAAGGCGGTGCGGGTTGAGAAAGTTCTGGTGAGGCTGGGAGGGAGCAGGCCCTCCCTGGAAGAGGAAACAGTCTGAAAAAGCCCAGAGTGGTGGAGATGGAGGGGAGGGCGTGGGTGCAGGGCTGGGGCTGAGCTTGGAGCAGCTCAGGGATGCCCGGATGCAGGTGTCCTGAGGGAGTGCGAGTCTAGAGCAGAGGTCAAGGTGGGAGGCAGATATTTTGGAGTGATTGATATTTATTTGGTGACGGAGGCTGCACACGGATGAGATCACCTAAGGAGAAAACAACAGGATTGAATCAGTCAGCCCCTGCTGCTTGACAAACAGCCACACAGATGTATTTTTATTTTATTTTATTTTATTGGCCATGCCACGTGGCTTGTGGGCTCTTAGTTCCCCAACCAGGGACTGAACCCGGGATGCACCTGGGCAGTGAGAGTGCCGAGTCCTAACCACTGGACCGCCAGGGAATTGCCCCCTACGAATGTGTTTAGCTTCCCTGCCTGGGGCTCAGCTTGGGCTTGGCTGATGTAGGCTGGGCTCAGCTGTGGAGCTCAGCTGCATTTGTCTGGCAGTTTTGTGTGGGCGGGAGGTGGGTTGCTCCGGGCTGGCTCTGCTCCTTTCGTGCTCCAGCCGTGGCGCTTGTCTCGTGGCCGTGAAGAAGGAACAGGGGCCCTTGGAGGCTCAGAACGGGCACAGCGTCACTTTGCCCCATCCTCGGAGTCACTGCCTGGTCCTCACTCTCGGCCACAACAGCTCACGTCAGGGGTCTCGTCCCACCTTGCGTCTCAGGTCCCCTGAGTCTCCTGTAACCGGGGTGCTGGAAAGTGGACCCTTGCAGTCTGCGTCCTGCAGGGGCTCCGCTATATCACACACCTTCCAGCTAAACGAGAAGTGGCCCCAGCCCAGGGGTCAGCATC